CGTGAGCGGGGACAGTGGCTGTCCCAGGAGCGCCAGGAGAGGGGGGCACAGTAGTCACACCGCATCCTCTTGTTCCATTGGATCTTTTCACTGTGTACATCGCTTACATTCTCCAAAAAATTTTTAAGAAAAGAAATCTAAAGAAAGGATTATTGTTTTTAACAGGTGATGTTGGCGTGGGAGACAATGTGGTGAGCAGAAGACCACGGGCTTTGAGCCTGGTCTGGTTTCAGTCCTTGCCTGTCACTTCCTGGTTGCACAGGGCAATGTAGCTCTCTGGGCCTCAGTCTCCCCATCCATATAATGGACGAGGAGGGCCTCCCACGGGCTGTGCAGCTGTCTGCCCAAGCCAATCGCATCCACTTCCTGCTCAGGAGAGCTCAGAGCTTCCCTCCATGGGCCCTGAGTGGCCATCTGTCCTGCTCCTGCCCCTGCAGGGCACAGTGCCCGCAGCACTGCCTTGGCTGCAAGTCGGGGCCAGGTCCTGAGGGGAGCGGGGACTCCAGGCTTTTCTGCGCCAGGACCCGATCTTGTGGTGCAGGGCTGACCCTCAGTGGGAAGTCCAAACAGCCAGACTGCACGTCTGTGGCAAGCAGACGGTGCCGGGTCCCCTGCCGACTGTGGGTGAGCCTGTCCCTGGAGCAGGGAGGAGAGCCTCATACCCCTTCCCCCCCCAGCAGAGAGGGCTCCCAGCTTCTGTCCAGACTAGGGTGGGCACATGAGGAGACGGTAGTGAGCCACAACTGTCCCCCAGCACCAGGGTCTCCACACATAAAATGACCAACAGCCCGATAGCAGATGATAGGTCAGGGACTGCCCCAGGCAGCCCCTTCTCCCCTCCCCAGGTCAGACCCCCCCACCCCGTTCCCCTGCAGAAGGCTCCAGAGCAGCTCTTGAACCATCAGGCTGGGTCTGGGACAGTCGGCGATCAAGACAAGGAGGCAAGGAAGATACACAACAGGCAAGAGGCCAGGTGAGCAGGGGCCGGGCGCCGCTGCCGGCGGGAACGAGCGAGGCGCTCGGGGAG